AATACATTTTTGCCATTATTAGGACAAAATACACCACAGTCTACGAGCGAGTGAGACTAAGACAAAGTGGCATATAAGCAGAAGTCCATGAAAACCCCTAAGGAGGGTGGTGTCGTGCCTGGTCTTCTTTTTTTTCAAGCATGTGGACGTCATGAGAAAACCAAACCTATGCAGCAAGAGGTCCTGTCTTGTACGCAAAAGCATGTACAGACAATCAAGATGTGATCAGACAGAGACGTACAGAACCATATGATGCCAGTGCATAAGTATAAAAAAGTTTCCCTCATATTTAAGAAGAAACAGATGTGAGTGAGTTTTGCAGCTGTGTCAACTGACAGGTTTGATTGAAGTGCGAATGAAATCAGTTGTGGAGAGGTGAAGTTTTCATGACTGCATAAACAAACACCCGTACTCATTTTGGAGTTATTTAGAGTGGTTCTACCATGGAACAAAATTATGAAACATGACCAGACTGGTGAGACGTTGGCCTGAATCTGATCCAGTAGTTAATTCCCAAATGGCCTGGCACAAAATGTGCAGTCTGGGGAAAAGAGGGAAGGGATATGTGAAAACTACACAAACATTTATCCTCATGTAGGAGCGTGCTCGCTACCTTTGTTTTCGTTGATTTGGGATCAAGATCTATTTAGTTTATAATACAATATAATCACAGTACAATTTAATTACAAGTTACTGATGATATAACCTTTTGTGAGAGGGTATTCCTCCAGAACAGCAATAAAACTAACAGGCGCACAAACGAGCTCATGTTTTCAAACAAGCGAGACAAATGAGAATCTGACAATTCGAATCAGGATAGCACAGATTTAATTATAGACTCCAGTAACAATTATCAGTTACAGAACACAGCCTTTGACTGTACAGAATAATCTCTATGTAGTGTATTAGATTTCAAATAGTGTTCATTAATGTTTTGCTTTGGCATTTGGAAAAAAGAAAAATAAATACATTCATATTGCTGGTTGAAAAATCGGTAAAGTGACAAATTTAAACACCTATCATTAAAGTAATCCTTACAACACACAATTAAATTAAATCAAATGTAGTCTCATAGCTAAGACTTTACAATGATAGAAAAACAAGAATCACCCAAAACAAATCCCCAAAATAAACCCAACTTAAGGTTTCATACGACATGCATCACACAACGCTGACGACAAACATTCACATAATAATCTGGAAGGCTTACATTAAATATTCAATCATTACCTCAGATATCAGTGGCGATATCTAACCTGGAATGCATTACATCATGCTAAAGCAACAAGTGTGCCTATTTTTTTTTTTAAATTAGTTTAAAGGAGAATGTCAGGTATTTTTCAAACTGGGCCCTATGTTCATAAATGTGGGTGTGTAAATAAATGGTACTTACAAAAATGTTTGGAATCGGTCCAGTAGAGCATCTCTGCTAGCAGCCGCATCTCGACACAGAGGCTACAATGCAATCTTATAGGATAACTTCAACAGCCCACAAAATGTCCGCTAAACATGCTTTTTTTCCATCAATAAAAGCTGAAATGTTATTCTGGGTCTTTGCTTCAAGTCTGTTAACGTTACTCGTTTATCACTTTCCCCGGGTTGTTGCAAGAAGACGGTGGAGGAAACGTGAGTGCAGGTGAGAGTTGGGAGGAGAGTTTGTTTTCTACTCAGAAAAACCATTATGGCTGAATCTGTTACTGATGTAGACATGTAGTGGACATCTGATGAGCTGTCCCTGTTGCCCCATATGGTTACACTGTAGCTCCTGCGGCTGTGTTATGGTGCGGGTGGAAGGAATCTACCGTACTGATACCAAAAAGTTTTACAATTATCATTCATGTACACACCCACATTTCTAAACATAGGGTCCAGGTTGAAAAAAAAAAAAAAAATTTCTCCTTTAACTTGCTCTCACTTTCAATGACTGAATTTACATGCAAATCAGTCGGGTTTCTTTTTAAACACCCTCATCTAATATTAGTTCTTCATTGTTCTAATCAGCCACCATAATCATATGTTGTCACTTCATGGAAAAAACTATGTGGACTGGTCCAGGATGTTTTCTAAATTAATAGAAACCTGAGCAAAACTTAAAGTTAACCTCATCTGGGAAAATTAGATGTTGTATATAACCACAGTGAAACAGGAGCTCTCCACAAACAAACTCTTGAGCTTGGGTGGTGTGCTGAGGAAGGCTCTCTTCTCTGTTTGACATAAAAAGTTAAAAATGAAACGGATCAAATCTCAATATTAAATCGGCTTTAGATTACACTCATTTAAAAGTGAGTGTAAGGGAGCCAGAGCTCAAGAGAGGAACAAGTGGGAAATGAAAGGATTTAGGTTGCCACGCTGAAAGAAAACGTTTCCTGAAAATTTTTAAAGGAGTCGGAAGGGTATGTTATTTAAAAAACGTCACTATGGGTGCTTATTGTTTTAAATTCTAAAAACATCAAATAGAGTTGATTGATAAGCAGTAGATTAAAAAAATGTAAGGGATGACGCATCATGTCATAAAAGTCCATTGTGATATATGCATGACTTAGACTTCCGATTAATTCCATAGGGCTTGTTGACAGATGTGTATAACAGCGGTCCAGAATAAACATTACAAACCAACTGCACCCATTGCAAATAGTGTACTAAGTTGTGTCTTCCTGTTGGATCACTTCATAAACTGCAATTAAACCAGAGTGACATTACTGTCACAGGTGCTGAATAGAAGGAGGTAACCAAGCATTGTCTTCAATGAACCGCTGCCAAAGTCAACAACCACAAAACATCACATATCATGAAAGAGATCATAAGAGAACATATTCACCTACGTGTGTTCACCACATGCACACATTATTTTAGAACATGTGTGCTTAGATGTGGCCTGTGAGCTTTAACGTTGGTCTGAACGACAGCAGAGCGAAGAGGACGAGAGGTCACCCAGTGGTCATGGCGCTCCGATATCTTTGTTTGGGTGCGCCATTGTCTGATATGCTTTTGTTATTGCCACTTGAATGTGTAGTGACAGAGAGACAGTCACACAACAACAAAAAGGACAAAAGAGGAAGGAAGAAGTCCCATAGGACACTTTCACAAAAGTGACATGTCTTTGTTGTCGTAGAAACTTGCAGGAATCAGACCTCAGAGGGATATGTGCAACATGCTACTGAACCAGATAGGAACGGATATACAGACTATCCTAACATCACACTGAATTTACTATTATCCATCCAATTTCTCTACAATCAAAATCAACAAAAACCCATCACAAAGGCTGGATGAAGATTAATAAAGAGATGGAAGAAATTCTCTCACTGATTTCGTACAACCAGGTATGTGATGTTTATATAACTACACAGGATTAGAAACGTCCGATTTAAAAGAACAGAGGGTGGTTGTCTGTTCCTGTTGCTCGCACTGGTGATAAAAAGCTACACCACACCTCCTTCCACTCACAGAGTGAATTAACATGAGGGCCTCAGCACGCACACACACACGTGCACACACACACACTGTGTCATCACACTCCGAGCGCTGGGCAGAGAGAGTCCAGATCCTTTTGTGCATCTTCATCCTGAGGAGAAAATAACATGATTTAAAATACAGTGAAATATGATTGTGACTGATTAGGCAGCCACCCATACATTTCTATGTTTCTATTAACGAGACGATTTTCTTGAACTTGGTGGAAGGATGCCGTGTGGGTGAAGAAAGAAGCCATTACACTTTGGCATGGATCTGGACAAAGGAGTTTTTTCACTTTCACATTGCAAGACAGGGCTTTTTGTGATATTTTCACTGATTTCCAAAGGAACAATTCACAAACCTTGATGAGAAAATCAGGCACATTAATGGAGCTGATATCTATGAATGTGTGAAATTTAGTGCAACTTGATTAAGGGGACTGTTAAGCCTTGGTGGAGGTGCACTCTACTGAGTGACGTTCTAGTTCCTAGTTTCTAATGCATTTTGTGTTGAGAGGATAAAAGGCATGAGGAATCACCCTGTGACGCATAAACACAACCTTGCAATACAACAGTGATGGAGTCTCACCTCTTTGGAGACGGAATTCATTGAACAAGCAGCTTCACACATCTTCTTGGCTTTTTCTCTCTGCCCCAGGTCTCTGTAACACTGTCAAAGAAGAGAAGAAACACTGTCAACTTGTTGAGTCCCAGCAGGATCTGATAGAACATTATGACAAAGTTCCTGGTACTGACCTTGGCTAGATATACATAGTTGACTTTCGAATACCCTGGATGGATCTCCTCAACCTGAAAACAAACAGACAAGAAATGGTTATGATTCATTATCAAAATATTCTAGCTCTTTATGAATAATGTGTGAAGGTAATTTACAAGTTAAAAGCTGGTGGTACATTATAGCTGGATTGACAGTTTGATTGTACACCTGTATCTTCTCTACTTAATTAAAGATAGTGATCTGTGTATGTATGTGTATCATCATAAAGGACAACAACAAGAGACATTTTCCCCTGACTCAACCTGACGTTCCAACACAACAGTTAGTCAAGTAAAGATAACCACAGGTTAGGAGCCAGGCATCTGCTGCTATAACCCTGCAGGATGTGTTAAAAACTCTCTGCCAGCGTCACAAGCAACATGTCATAACAGGACCACTTAAATCCAAACGATGAGTGAGACACACAAGATGTGAGGAGGAGAGAACAGGTATATTGCCCAGAGGCAAAAACTTCCTTTCTCTGCTACATAAACATTGAAAATGTGGCAACACAGATTAAGTCTTTTTAAACAAGGGTTTGGTGTTTGGACTCTGGGCACAGGGGCGACCTGGAGACAAGTTGCAGGAGCATGCTGGACAAACAGGACACTATGTGTTATGTAGCTGCCATCACTTTTACACTTTAGGTTCAGAAGTACTTAGTTTAAACGGTTATTAAAAAAAGTTGATTTATGTCTTTAAAATATTTCAGTTTAATTATGTGCATTTATATTAATGGAATTTACATGATAACTGCTTGACACACATTGATTTGCTTTATGTGAATGTACCTATATGTGTATTCAACATCTTGATGAATTATCCAGCAGTGAGTTTGGGTGATTGTTATTCTGTGCGAGAATGCTCTGTATTTACTAGTTTCATTTTATGATTTTTGTATTTTATTTTGTTAAGTTCTGATGGCATTTTGAAGGAATGTTTGATGGAAATAAATGCCTGTAGCCAAAAGAATGCCTTGTGTTCGTGTTTTAGCTGCAGGAGCTTCATGTCATCTATCAGATCAGTTCAGAGGACGACATGAAATTAATAGAACTGTGTGAAAAACTCTATCAGTCCTAATTCGAGTGCAGTTATTTCCACCCCTTTCACAACTGGGCAACAAGTTAAAAAAAAGTCAATCATTTTGCAGCTCTCTAAAATCAAAAGGCTTTGCCACTTCATGCAGTGTTTGTGCAGGTGTGCAGAGGTGAGAAAATACACAGAACACTTACACGATTTATTCCAGTTTGTACGATTCGTGCAAGGTGGATGTTTAGTGTTTGGTGCAACAGTTGGAAACAAGTTTTCATTCCGATGTCAACATGCGGTGACTTGTTTGGTTTAAGAACAGTCCTGTGGTCGAAAACCCTGCAGACTGATGTGAAAAAAGGTAATTTAAACTGTACCTTAAGAAAATTCTTAAGTGCATCTTCAATTGTGGCACTTGGAGGCTCTCCGAATAATGTGGCCGCCACTTTCCTCTCAATCCACGACAACTGAGCGACCTGCAAAACAAGCAAACACCTGACAATGACAACTCCGCAAATTAGTCCGAGAGTGAATTTACACCAGGATAAATAAATAAACACAATGTATTAACTGCCTCCTTCACATGCTGGCAGTAGCAGAAGCACATTACTGCTCACACCCAGCAGTGATGTCACAGTTGCCCCATGAGGAGACCGGCACTTTGCTGCAGCAGGGTGACGGGTTAAATCACAGGTCGAAAAACAAGATTTCAGGTGTTGTCAAGATTCTCTTTAAGACTTTAAAGAGCAGTTGTGAATAACAGTGGTCATTATCTTCAAACAACACTTTACATCTACAACAATTTTACTGCTGCTTCTCTTTAGATATGAAGTAATGTGGGTATTATTTTTTATCTCGTGTCATTTTGAGTTTTAATGTCTTTAAGCAAAAACATGTAGAATAAGAGCTTTAGTAGTGTCCTGCCACAACACATTTTGACATCATTTTTCTTCTTCTGTATTTTACATGACCACATGATATGGGAGTTTTTTTTCCACTATCTTTATTTAAGAGTGTGGTCTTTTGGTTTGGCAGCAGGACTTCTGCATTTGTTTTTTTTTCTGCAGAAGGTCTGTCAAATCTCCCCAACCAATAGAATGCCAGGTGTAATAATGATGAATGAAACTGTCCAACCTTCGTTTTGGTTACTTTTGCATTTCATAGTTGCTAGCAACAGTGTTCCAGTGATGTAAAAAACGTAAGATCTTTGATTTTGCCGGTCCACGTTAACCAGCGATCTGCTAGACTCCTGCTCCATGTTGTAGTTTTTCTTCAAGCACCTAGGCGGGCAGCACTTGTCATCACTACACCTGACATTCTATTGCTAAGGGAAATTTGACAGACTTGTTGCACAAAGAAATTCAAGAGCAGGAGAAAGAAATCTGAGAGACAATGTTTTACCCACGCACAGAAGCAGCGTGAGCACGAGGAGAAGAAGAGCTGAAGTAGGAGGAAAGGAAATCTAAGCACAAGCAGGGTATATTTGAGTGTGAGTGCAGGGATTTGAGTGAAAGCACTACAGAATCTGAAAGTCCTGCTTACAAACTGAAATAACATGCTCTTGAATAAAGATAGGAAAAAAGGCCATACACGTTCCCTGTGCACTGACACTTGTCTACTGACACCTCAGAGTTGATAATAACCACGACAAGCCTGGGTCAAACATGTAATGTTCCTGTCTCACACCGTTCATCAGAGCTATGTCTAATTGTAGGTGTAGCGTTGCTTTGGCGTCATCGCAGGACCTTTCAAACAGAACCTCTGGCTGAATGCAAACACTAAATCATTGTTGAACATGAGGCTAACACAGAGAAGCCCATAAAACTCAAAGCTGGAAAATATCAGGTGTTACAGCACCACTAGAGTTACACAGTAGCTCACACCTTCTCTAGTACCGACAGTATAGGTGAGTGTTATATGATTTTATCAGGTCAATCTACATAAAAGCCTCCTTCCTTTCTGGAACTTAGTTTGACAACTGGCACCACGTTCAGTGATAAATTAATAATAAAACAACAGCGGAACATCTGTAAACCTTTACCTCTAAATGACAATAATTCATCAACATCATTCACTGTATTTAAATAACAGCAAAGATTAAACAACTGACAGACAAAGAAACAATCAAGAGCTACTTCAAAAACAAACAGCAGCACTGAAAGAATATGAAGTGAATAGAAACAGGATGTATCTCCATGGCACAATATAACATCCCAAATCGTGCAGATGGAAAAATAAACCAGAGGGAAACCTAAACAGTGGGAATGAATGGGGGGAAATTGTGGGTGGGTTAGCAAAGGGAGACAGAGGGCATGTAGACTTGTCTATAAATCCACTGTTTGTGGATGTTAGGAGAGATGGGACAGACGTGTGACGGTCACATACGGAGTAGCACCAGCGGCCCAGCAGGTAGTAGGACAACGGGTCTTGTGGCTTCAGCTCAATGGCTTTATCCAGATGATCCTGGGAGGGGAGGCAGACAGACAGGGAGAAGATTTTCACTGTTGATTCATGACACGGCTGCTGTTTCCACTGCCTTCTGTTCTGACCTGATCTGTCCTGCTTCACCAACCCACAAGTATTTCACAAACACCTCACACACACGCGATATAGCCATGCAAGCACACACTCCTGCTGTCACGCACCCTCTCTCCCTCGTTCTTTTCCCTTCTTCCTCTGACTCAAGTTTTTTTTTAAATA